TTAAATCTGAAAAAACAAAACATTAAAAATTCAGCAATACTTCAAATGAAAAATCATAAAAATTATAATCATCCTTATCAGGTCATTCAGTCCTGTGTAATCCATTCTTGATCCCAGTCTTTTTGTTAGCAGCTTCATGAAGTTATCAGTCTCTCCATCAGATTTCTATAATTTTTTACCCAGTTCAGTTTTATGATCAGAAAGTTTGTCAGAAACCTGAGTTCCAGTGTAAATGTCAGTCTTTTTTATGAATTTTTTTGAAGTTGAAACATTTTGCAAAAGCATTAGAGCAAAGAGAAATGTCTGTAAACAACAAGACCTCAGAATGGCAATTGACAGAGAAATTAGGTTAATTTTGTGACATACAACACTTTAAAATAATAATAACCAGAATTATGACTGATAATCAGGACAGATCAGAATTTCAGTAATGTTATACAATTTTAAAACACCTATGTCAATAACGTCTGCCCACAAAATACCACCTAAGCAGGCTTATCATCACTTGTCTGACAATGCTTTCCATGTAATTTAACATACTGAATAAGCCTAATAAGTTTAGTATCTTTTTCTTTATAGGAAGAGAGGAAATTTCTTTGAGAAGTTTCAGGGCCCTTTGAAAATTCTCAAAGTGAAAAAAAGACTTTATTTAAGATATGAATTTTGGGGAGCTTGTCAAAAATATAAAAGGGCAAAGCAAACAGCATTAACAGTCTAAAAAGCCTTAATAGAGAGACCTCAGTCTTTTGAACGTAGGAAATTATTTTAACAGTTTTTTTTCCTTTTCTGTCTTTTAGGTAGACTTACCCAAAGGTAAAGAAAAATCTTTTATAACCTCTGTATCAAGTTTAAGCAAATTATCCTTTTAAGAGAAATAAGACCAAATTATAATTTTCTACCAGCTTACTTCTGATATTACAACTCATTTACTTAATTAAATTTATTTTAATCTTAGCAAAGTTGACCATGCATAAAACTCCTTTTCCAGAATTCCTTCCACAAACCTTCTATAACTTTCTTTTTACATTTAGAATTTGTCCCATGTCTTTTTTTTCCCTCCTAGTACTTGAGGACAAATTTATCTTTCTTAATCAACCAAACAAAACTTTTCCATTTTTTGTACCTTTATACATCTTACTTTCCTTGTACACAGACATATTTTTCTTAATTTTTTAGTAGCTTCAATCACATATATTAATTAGAAATTTTAACC